AAATTCACGAAGACCAGTTTTTCTCAGTATAGATGGTATTACTACCAGGCATGAAATGAAACTAGAGATCCCACTCAATTTCCCACTTTTCTTTTACAGGCACCCCAAAAAGTAGCTGTAACTTATTTTAAAGAATTTGTTATGGAACATTGGTTTTCAGTTTGGAAAATAACCCTAGACAAAAGACAACATGTTTCAAGAATGCAGCATGGCATCATCATACCAATTACCCAATAAATACAGAATCTGAAGGAAATTAAATTGTCCTGGGACAAACCACTGTGTGCCCTACTCAGAGGACAAAAGAAGACAGGTCTATTTTTATCCTTTCATAAAACCTCAGTTCCATAAAGGAAGCACTGGTCTCCACTTATCCATTATCAGGAACAAAACGTAATGGTTGTTGATCAAGGTAAAAGTGACTGACAACTCTTTTCCAGAAAAGTTCTGAAACAAGCCTGATCACTCTAGTCCCATTCATAAATCCCGGAAAAGACAGGAGAGGGAAAAACGGAAGGTGTTTCTGGTTGTGGGCAGGGGCAGTAAGACCTCTCCCTCCCTTCTCATGACCCCATCACCTATGTTGGAGGAAACTCATTCCAACTATGTTGGAATCAGGAGATCCGGCTCCATTACGGGCTCTGAGACTTGGTTTATGTTTTCAACCATGCCCATAAACCAGTCAGGACCCTCGGAACTGTTTTCCTAAATGCAAAGAACTTCGGCACCAGCATGACATAGGTGAGGGAATTAAGGTGCACAGAGCAACAATGACTTGCTCAAACTCACAGCCGAAGGCAGAACTAGAATTCAAACCCGGGTCCATCAGACTCTAAAAGCCCTCGCCAAACGCTCCGTTCTCTCGAGAGTAAATGGAGGAATAACACTGTCTACCCAGCACGGTTCCTGGAAACGTGGAACGATCAGATGAGGGCCAAGCAGCTGAGCATCATTCCCCAAAGCGCCCAGACAGCGTGGAAAACCATTTCCACCTAACTGGAGATGGAGAGCCTGGACCGCAGCCCCGCCGCTGGAGGGCCCTCAGTTCGCCAAGCCGGGCTCCCCCTCCAGACCGCACCCCACGCCACTGACGCCCCTTCGGCCCGCGCGGCCCGGCCCGGGGCTAGGGAGGGGCAGAGGGACGGACGGAGAGCGCATCCCGCCCCAACTCACCTGTCACCCGGGCCGCGCCACGGCGCACGTGTGGGGCCGGCGATCGCGGGCGAGGTCGGCACCCGGGTCCCCACCCCTTCCTCTCCGCACGGGTGCCCCCTCTATCCGCAGCCCCCGATCGGCAGCCGGCCGGACCCCAGCTTCCGCCTGTGGCTCTCCTGGCGGTCACATGACCAGAGGGGCGGAGAGCGGGGCGGGGCGTCACGTGACCGCTGGCGGGCGACGGCTGATGACGCCCGAGCCCGCGCTCGCAGTTTCAGCGACTGGGGAAGGGAGTTGAGGAAGGAGTTGGGGTCCGGGTGTGGGCAGTCCGGGTGCAGCCAGACCGAGCTGGGTCGGGCATCCAGGTAA